TGATATGCAATAGAATATAACACTAATAATTAATTTTATGTATGGACAAATAACTAGACATACTCCTTGCGGCTTCCCAACAATAAGGTGTGTGACGAGGCTATCCAAAGAATGCTTCATTTTGGCCCCATGTATAGTCATATAGGCCCATAATGATTTTTTATCATTGAAGGAGAGCTTGAAATAGGAGGGAGTTATTCAATGAATATATATGTTTGAAAAAAATATTTGCAAGAAATTAAGGAAGTTTTATCTAACCTCAGAGGTAACTGCAACAATTCCTGAAAGTAGCTTCTTAAAATGGGGGTGGAATGGTTTGAAGCTAGGCGCAAAATAATTGGAAAAAATAGCTACCTAAGTAAGCAACCATAATTCAACGATTGTTCCACCCATTCGCTAGTCACGACAGGAATAGCATAAATATCCTTTGCCTCATCAATTTCATGTGCGGATTCATCATCACTTATGGCAAATTTTATACTTTCAGAAAGAAAGGGATGATTGACGGCCCCTTTTTCTTTCAAGGTTTCAATTAGCTAGAAGAATGAGTTTAATTTGGCATAATAAAATAGAACAGCTGCAATAAGCAAACGCAACTATAAGAGACAGATCCAAAGTGGAAAAAAACATTGATGAAAATCGAATAAGAAAGCAAATAAATTTAAGCACCGGTTAGAAAAGGCAATTTTTTAAATTTAGAAGTACAGATTATTGAATTAATACCCTCAAAACAATCGAACGCTTACATGAGGCTTGTCACACTTTATTATATAAAACTTCGACCCTATTAAGCCTTCCATTGGTTAGGTGTAGCCAACGTCATCAATACAAAAGAGGAGCCACCATATATGCAAGAGCTAAATAAACACACACACAAATACAAATGTATACCCTATAATGTGGAAAAAAAGAAAAAGAGCTGAATATATAAATATAAATTTTACAGATAAATGTGATTCATGAAATTGTCTATTACATCTTTGCTTCATGGAAGCCTAAGTTATCATTTTTCAGAATGATAATTTGTTCATATATTTAGGAAAAGCAAAACTATCTAATGGATTTCCATCCAACCTTAAACGCTATATATATTGAGCGTAAAAAATATAACAGAAAATACTTGTGTCTATTGGATAGGATTAGGACGTGTGACATGAAGTACCTCTAAGCAATATGAAGGAACATGAACAGCTTCCATTCTTATTTCGCTATTCTACGCCCTAAGCGACTCATAAGACTTATATGTATATAACATAAGCGCAGTAAGGATTAGGTGGGACTGTAAAATGGAGAGACAAGAGGAATGCGCTTTGCGCA